ATGCTTTATCTGAGCAAACACACACATCTCCCAAATGGAGTGTGACTAGTGGTGTTGATGCCAGGGAGACTTCAGTGGGAGATGTGCTGGTCTGATAGAGAGTCGTATGCATGGCAGTGTATGAGGGCTTGAAGACCAAAGATGGAAATAAAGAGAAAGCAAGGCCATACTACGTGTATAAGAAAAGAACAGGTGAAAGGTGCAAGAAAGACAGAGAACTGTGGGGACAGTGCTCCCAACAGCACACCACGCATGCCAGGGAAGGACAGGATGGGACTATGAGCATTCCTATACTGGGCCATCAGTGGGAAAAGGTGTGTGTGTGTGTGTGTGTGTGTGTGTGTGTGTGTGTGTGTGTGTATGTGTATCCCTGTGCCCATGGTGGGTGATTCAGCCTGTCTACTATCTGCCTGGTGGTTACATTCTAGTGCAGAGGCCATGAGCTGCTAGAAGGCCTTTCCTCAGCCCATCATAGCAAATCTGATCCTGCATCCCTGCCAGGTCCTCCACCTGCTCTGGAAAGAAGAAAGTGGTATCTCTAATGATGACCAGCACAATGGTCCCACATGAAGAAAGGCACAGGCAGAGCTCTATCCCAGGTGATCCTAAACATAACACAACTCACCCAGCTGTATCTGTCATTGCCAATAGTAAAATTCAGGTGGCTCCTGGGGCCCTTATGGCTTTCAGCATCTCACTTTCCTTGGGAACTCTTCCCTTTCTATTTAAAATAGCTCATAGGTTCTTTGGAAGATCAGATAACACAGCCAAGCTTGCTGCAGGCAACCATACCCACCCACATCATGACAGAGCTATTCCTATCCTGGGGAGAGTGCTCAGGAGAGGCTGAGATGATCCCATGGCTTGCAAGCATAGAAGGCCACTGCCTACCAGGACTATAGACCCACCAGGACAAGAAAGGCCATCGCCACACTAGAAACGGGACATCTGTACTCTCCCACTTGCTCTGGAGCAGATTCGAGGCCAGCCTTTCTTAGTACGGAAAGCGTGGCGTCAGGCTCAGACATAAAAGGCAGCACTTTCCTAACACAAGCCGTGACTGAAGGCAGCTGTGGAGGGCCCATTCCAGGGCAGCAAGGGTTTCTAGAGATAAATGCAACTTAAGTCAATATTTTGACTTTTTTTAATGAGTAGAAACTAGAGGCAGGGCTAGGAGTAGAAAAGAGAATTGTAATACATCATTTTCTAGCTAAAAAGAAAACGTTTCAGAGGCTGCCAAACCTCCCTTAACTCCTCATAGCTCCAGACAGCTGTCAGGACTAATGCTGCTTGGGGCTTAGACCCTGGCAAGAAATGTAGCTGAGATTTCACTTCTGCCTGCCAGGGCAGTGGCTTTGTCCAGGGACGCAAGCCAGGGATTGCAGAACTCCGCAAGAGCCAAGGGCTGCCTAGAGTCAGCCACAGAGGGCCAGCTTCACTGTTAGAGAGGTGCTGAGGAGGAGTGGCTCACTGGGAAAGGGAGAAGAGGCAGAAAGGACTCCCTTGCCATCCATCCGGATGGTTCTTTCTGTTCTGCATTGGCCTTGGTCGTGGGTGTTAACAATGGAAACGCAGAAGCCCCACACAATGGCAGCAATAGGATCAAACGCACGTGGTGGCTACTCTAATGGAACAGAACACAGACAACAAGGCTCAGGAGAAACTGTTTACAGATGCACACAGATGCTCAGGCAGGTGGGGCTATGGAACAGTGCTAGGGCTGGTCTCATTAGAACCACTTGTACACCATTTAGAAACCAGGCCTAAAGTGCACCAATGGCAAGCACTCTAACTCTGCCTAAAATGGTAATAACTTCTTTTTTATGGTAGTTTGCATATTCAAAAAATTACTGCTAGAAACATGAATTGATTTACAAGAACTCCACTGAAATCCTTTCTTCCCCATCTTGTCCTCCCCAAGCCAATTTCATAAAGCTAATGTTTGCATTGGTATAGCCAACTTTTAACACAGTCCAGGGGCTCAGCCCTGCTCCCTGTGCAACTCTGGCCCAAGAGCACCTGGGAGACACAAAGCAAGACAATTTATAGAGCATGCACCATCCTTCAACAGCCAGAGCAGACTACAGTCAGGTGCTACACAACAGTAATCTGGCCAACGACTAACTGTGTGTACATAGGTAGTCCAGCCCCTTCCTTGCTCAGTCCCAGAATCAACCCCTGGCTGCCCAAAGATCTTCATTCACTACCTACCAGCTGGACCATCTGCCTACAGGACCCTAGCATGTCCAGCCACACAGCCTGTATGTAGCATAGGTCTCCCTCCTACTCATGCTGCTCAGCTCAGGAGACACAAAGTGAAAAATCACCCCAAGGGGAATTGCCATAAGGCTAGTCCTAAATGTCTGAAGATTAAATAATTTCTCTGATTATTCATTTAGCAAACACACCAACTATCTACTATGGCTTAAATGCCTGTGTCCCTCCAATATCCATATATTAATTTCTCTGATTATTCATTTAGCAAACATACCAAATATCTACTATGGCTTAAATGCCTGTGTCCCTCCAAAATCCATACATTAAATTCGAACATCCAATGGGACGGTATTACCAGGTGATTAAATGTAGAAGGGGAATCCTCATAATGGGGTTAATGCCCTTACAAAAGGGGCCCCAGGGAGCTCTCTCACCATCTTTCTGCCATGGAGGTAGGTTATGCAACCAGACCTCAGCAGAATACTACCCTGCACCCTGATCTTGTACTTCCAGTTCCCAGAACTGTTTTGGTCACCAAAGCTGTGGCATTCTGTTACCACATCTAACAGACAAACAGTAGCAAGAGACAGCTACCCCAGGAAGATGCTTGGGGCCAAAGTTTGTGGCACTGAACTATGGAACTGCTCTCTCTAGTCTCTGACTACTGTAGATAGTTATGACAGCATGGTGAAACGTATGCATGTGTTAGTGTGGGTCTGGAACACAATGTCCTCTAGTGAGATTGGTCTATGACATGTTCTCCATAAAAGCTCACATATTAAAGTCTTAAACTCTGATGTAAGCACTACCAAGCAGAGTTTAGAGATGGAGCTTTGGGGAAGTCACTGGATCATGAGAGTGTCCTCTTTGTCTGGAGTAACCCACTGACAGATTCAAAATGTGAATTAACACTTAGTAGTGGAACTGTGGAGAGAAGGGCCTGGCTGGAAGAAGCAGTCACTGGAGGCCTTGAAAGGATGTGCCATGTCCTTTGTCCTTTCCCATCTCATCTCTCCGCTTCCCATCAGGAGGCGAAGAGCCTCCTGTCTTCCCTCTAATGATCCACTTTGTTATGAGCCCACAGCAATGCAGTAAGCTAACCATGGACTAAAGTCCTGATACCATGAGCCCTTTAACTTGAGCCTCCAGACACTGGTTCTAGGAGCCTTACATCTGGATGTAACTAACTGGACCCCCCACCACAACTCCAGTAGGAGGAGTTCTTAACCACCCAGCCTGGTCTTTGGTGGCCTCTCTACATGGCCACTTATTGGTCACTTCATGGCATGGCTCTCTGGTTCAAATCTAGCACACGGTTTCCCTGATCAGTATCCCTGCCCCATCCCAGCCCCAGCATCTAAGACTCTGATCAGTGTCCCTATCTCACTCTCCAAAGTGCCCCTTAATCTTCCAGCCTTGAACTATTTACGCACTTCTGCGTTAGCCACTCGTCACTCCTCCAGTGGTGGCAGCAACAGCAGGACTGACAGGACAGACCTATGTCACACATTATCAGATGCCACTAAGAAAGGCCTCTGGGGTCAAGACTGATGATCCTGTACAAATAAAGTTGACATCGAACTCTTAGAATTCCTATGTACATTACGCATCCTTGAGAGGCGGTGCAAAGCTTTTCTGAAAGTGTTCAACTACAATTGTTTTACTGTGTGGGCGCCTTAAAAGTTTCTGAATGATTCATATTGGGAGGAGATTTGGAAAAGCTTGCCTTTGCTCACCCCCAAATTTCACCAGCATTTTAATGCCCAGAGCATCATCACACTCGACCTCTGGCACCACTTCAGGTCCTGATGGATTTGGAATTCTAGTAATTCCTTCTGTTGAAATTTCGTCCCGCACAGCCCAAGAAGGTGCACAATTTCCCCAACACAAACAGAGGTACACACAATGGGTGTCCCCAGCACTGGCCACAGATGCTGCCTTCCTGAATCACCAGAAGGTTGGTGACTGACAAAGAGGTAACATTGCAGATGATTGCAGACACTGGCTCTTGATGTGTTACATCTGGATGAAAGCAGCTTGTCAAAAATGACTTTAGTTTTCTTTCTCAAAGCAGGTCTGAGTCTTAGTCAGTCGTTTAAAAGGTAAAAGATCAGGTCAATGAGCTGGCCTGGTGGGTAAAGGCACCTGACACCAAGCCTAATGACGAGAGTTCAATCCCTAGGAAACAGCTGAGAATCAATTTCCAAAAGTTGTAGACTGACCTCCACACATGCTACATGACACGCTAATGCTCCCTCCCTATATACTAAATAAATGAATAAATAAATAATAAATAAATAAATAAATAAATGTAAAATAAGAGTATTTGAATAAAAACATTAAATTTGGAAAGCAGCTCACGAGCAATGCAAAACAACTAGAAAATTATCAGTGACAGAAGTCTTTCCATGTCAGTAGTTTTTTTTTTATATAAATACATAAATAAATAAAGTAACTTTAAAAATTGAAAATCAAGAGAGAGAAAAGACCAAAGAAGCTTTGCTGCCCCTTCCTGAAAAGCATCCTCAGTTTTACACACACACACAGAGCTTTAGTAAGGAGGCTCCTGACCAGTCCTCCATACACTATAGTTTTAAAAAAGACCTGACCTAACTGGCCAAGCCCAATCTTCATGAGTGCCTTAAAACCTAGAAAAGTGTCACACACATGCGGCTTCTGGGTTGCAGGAATGCAGGGTGGCTTCACCTTGTGGGCAGGCTACAGGGCTTTGCTGATGCTCCTGTGAATGAGCTACTTCCCCTGTGCCTCCCTGTGGCACATACCTTCTCCATCTGCACTCAGGTTCTCATAAGAGTCCCAGCGGATCAGCGGGTCTGCTGTGTTGTAGTCCACAATCACTCCCTGGTCACTGTAAAGATGCTCTGATCCTGTGGGGCCACAGCAGATGTGTTAGTCCTAGCAAAGCCCAGCACCTCTGTCCACCTGACCTGAGGAGATTAGGGCACTGAGATGCCAAAATTCAATGCAGAAGTGAAGCCCCTCCATTTGCCACCTCTCTTCCCACAAGTCATAGCACTAACCAGAGACTGGATATGATTTTTGACAAATTTACAAAGACGCTTGGAAGAAAGACAAACCAAACACTGATCATTTGAGATGGTGTCAGAAACCAGTCTCTGAGGCCTACTAGGGCCTTTGGAACAGATTGCAGATGAGGCCACAGACATGCTTCCAAGTGTCAGTCTCCAAATGCTCCTATTCTCATCTCCGTGCTCCTGCCTTTGGCCATTCTAAGAATGCCACAGGGAATTTTAACATGCAAGTCTTGCACTGAATGGCTCCTACCTAAATCTATGACAATGGGCCTAGCAAAAGAGTGATACCTTTCCATGCTGTTAAAAATATTATTAAAGCCTGGCGTGGTGGCACACTCCTTTAATCCCAGCACTTGGGAGGCAGAAGCAGGAGGATCTCTGTGAGTTTGAGGCCAGCCTGGTTTACATAGCGAGTTCCAGGCTAACTAGGGTGACAGGGAGACCCTGTCTCAAAAAGACCAAAAAAAAAAAAAAAATTACCATGTAGCAAGGCATGGTAATATACACTTGTGATCCAATATTTGGAAGGCTGAGGCAGGAAGATTAGGGGTTTGAGGACAGCCTAGATTACCAAGTGAATTCTGTCCCAAAATAATAATAATAAGAAGAAGAAAGTTAAAATTGAAACTGTCATATGTAGGAGGCTCACTCTAGGGGTAAAGAATGATTTCTAATTAAATGTGTTTTCTGAAATACACATATAGTCACAGTGTGCTGTACTGGTCATCTTTCTAAAGCCCCTTTCCTGTGGCGAAGCAAGTATTTGGCACAACTTCACAGATGGTGGGTAAACTCTCAGGAACACCAGTGGGAACCCCAGACTGCAAAGGCTCCCTCGCGGAGTCACCTTGGGCATGCTACACTATCTCTGGATCTTCTCCAAGTGAGTGTTACTTTCTCTAAACCACCTCCCTCTGACTATCCAATATGCTATTTTTCTTTTAAAGTTTAATTCAAGAGCTAAGGATGTAGCTTAGTATTTAGGGCACGTTCCTGGAATGCAAAAGGCCCTAGGCTCCATCTTCATCACAAAAATAAAATTAAAACAAAGTTCAGATTTTCTAAGTATGTGCAAAGACAGGAGTCAGTACAATCCCAGGGCTCCCAACTCTCAGGGTCTCTCCAGCCTGTGTCAGTGTCCTGCCGCTACTGTCCTGCCAGTCACCCACCTTGAAGCTTCTCAGGAGTAGCAGAGAAGACCAACTCGATCTTGCCATAGTCAGGAAAACGGTCATCTGAAAAAAAGAACCATATCACACCATGTCCTGAACTGAAGACTCTATCTTTCCAGCCCAGCTGGTGTCAGGCCCGTCCCAAGCTGCAACAGAACTCCTAACACAGAAAGTTCCCCAGTTTCTCTGAGTTTTTCTTCCACAGATCAATTCAATTTTTCTTATATTACGAATAACTTAGTCAATATGCTCCATTTGGGGGAGAGAACCAGGAAGGACATAACACTCCGATGTCCCCAAGGGCTTCATCCACTCACCTTTGCAGGCATTGTCCAGCTCTTCTTTCCCAAACAGGAGCCCGTAGCCCTGCACAGCACCTGTGTGGAACTGCAGGCGGAAAATGACATCGCGGGTGGCCGAGCGGAACTTTTTATGGTAGCATTTCACCTGGTTGAGGGAAAGGGAAAATAGGCAACAGCTGAGAGGGAGCACTCATTAAACATGGATGCAGCCTGTAGAGGTGTGGATGGCATGCCCCCTGAACGGCTGTGGGCAGGAGTGCACAGCGGAAATGACCCAGAGTATGGCATCTGAAGGTGCCATGGGGGCAGCACATCACTGACATCTCCTGTGGGCCTCATGTCATCTCAGCAGGAGTAACATTCTGAAAGACCGCAGCCCTTTGTCCTAGAATGGGCCGCACGCTTGAGGCCTTGTTAAAAGGCTTCTGGGCTCGCTTTCATCTACAGATTTTAACAGTTGATTGTGATGACTTTTTCCTTTCATCTAAAATCTCCAAGTATCAACTTAATGCCTCTCTGTTTTCACACAATGGAAATACTGGTGACTGCTTTCTCTTTGCATGTTGTGCGTAGGCTAGATCTGAGGGAAAGCTAGAGATGGTAATAGAGAAATGGGGGGGGGGGGGAACCACAAACAGAAAGACAGACAGACCAATGGAGATGCAATGGTGTTTAGTTTACAATGCCTGGGTATCCTGGAGGTAGCATTTCAACAAAGGCCTTCAGAATCACCTCTGTGACTTGAATGCAAGTTGCAATATCCTTCCTTGGGGCTGACGGTTCACTAGGTCTCTGGAATGTACAACAAGCCACCCTAGGTGGCTGTATTGACAAGCAGGATGGAGAAGCTGTAGGTAGATGGGGGTCAGAGCAGAAGCCTGGTGTGCCCTGTCCCATTTTGATACTAAATGCCTCCCTGCATCAGGCCACAGTAGAAAGAAGGTATGCTGGAAGAGGGGGACCTTGCTAAGGTGGCAGGGGAAGGACCACAGAGCAGCCAGGGTCCTAGGGGTCCAAGGCAGACTGAGCTGGACTCAGCTCTGAGACCACACATTACACATGGCAGGCACATCATGGCATGGGAGACTGTGGTGGGCAGACTTCCCTCCAGGACAGCCACTTTCCCTAAGGGAGACTCTTCCAGTGAAGGATGGCTTTAAAACATCACAGGCTTCACAGATCTAAAGGAAGAGTCAGGCAGGAGAATGTGCAAGTCATGGCTCAGTCATCCTCTGACCAGAGAAAGCATCGCACAGAACTAAAGAAAAGAGAAGGACAAAAAGCCCGGGCAGGAAGGCTGGGAGCAGCAACCCATGGACAGACCTAGAACTTGTTTGCATTGTGCTATCTACTAGGAAATGGTCAGATAAACAAATGAAAAGGTATAAATAAGCCTGTGCAGGATGCTCCTTGTTGACAAACATGAGCTGAGCATTCACTGCGCTCAGGCACCACTCTCCCATTCAAACCCCCAACTTTCCACTCCCCCTCCGACACACACACACACTCTGGGGTTGCTGTAAACACTCTGCTGCAGACAAGGACCTACCTCCAGCGGTCTCCACTCAGCAACTTTGCAGCCATTAACATGAATCAGGAGGGATGGCCAAGAACCTTGCTTATTGACCAATAGCCAAGGACCCAACTCCTTGTTGGGGAGTCTGACTCTTAAGCAAGACTCAATTCAAAAATGGTCCTTGCAATCAAAGACATCCTTCCAGAATATTCTAAGCACAGTCATAACCCCCTCTGAACCTCACGCCTCATACCCATTACACCAACTACCCATTAAATGCTTCAGTCCGCCCAGCCAGGGGTGAATCCACGTATCCCTCCAATGAGGATCTGACCTCCCCTCCCTGACCCTGGCCTGCTGCCCCCTAGCTGCCTTGGAAGTGAGAAGTAACAATGGGATATGAGCGTGGGAGAGGAAAAGCCAGGTCAGCATCAAGCCAGTCCTGCTCTCCATTTTATACATACCCAGGAGAAAAAAGATTTGAAGAACAAGATCTGAAGAAGTGAGGGCAGACAAGGAACACAGATCTAGCCAGGCCTACAGAAGCACTGTGATGACAGTCAGGGAGGACTACTAGGAGAAGATGGCTGTGGGCAGAGCTGGGAGAATGCAGAGGCATCAGGGGATTGCACCCATGCACAGGGGAATGCCCCCAGCTACAGCTTGTTTCCAGTTTTTAATGGGTACTGCTCCCCTTCCACCGGCTCAAGTTACTGGCATCCTTACCCTGTGGCCAACCTCTCTAGTCCTTCCCTCCTCTCCAGACCTTTTCTGGAGGTATCCGGAGTATACTTACTACTCTATCTCAGCAGCTACAAACAAACACTGTGACTCACACCCCAGGTATCCCAACTCTGTCCATGCCAGGCAGGGGAGGAAGAGGTTGGCTCTTGTCCATTTGGGGATGAGGGAGGCCAGGGGATAAGAATCTGCTGTCCACAAGTTGGGCAGCTCTCAGGCACCTTGGAGAAGGTACCTCTTGGGTCGAACATGATCTCCTGTTTGCAACTTCTTGTTTGTCATAATACAAGGGATCGGCAACAAGAGTGATCTGTCCTCACATTGAGCAACTGCTGTCCTGTATCCCTGTGACTGCTGTGACTTCTCCTGTTCATATTCTGACAATGTCTCCATCACACACATTAGCTGCTTCTCAATGAACTTCCTCCCCATGGACCAGGGGAGGCAACACCACCCCCTCCAGTCCTCACCAACTCAGGAAAAACTGGAGAAACCACAGGATCCCTCTTTCCCCAGATTCCCCTTAGCCCTGACCAACATAACAGATCTGCTTTTGAGAGCTCCCCTCAATTAACCAGAACTCTGCTTTGATGACCTCCAGTGCCCTCAAGAGGGTTCAATAATGACCCTTTATCAACATCAATTAATCTTTGTAGCATCAATGGTCAAAGATCAGAACTGTGCTCTGCACACTTAAAGGGCCACTGCACACTGTTTGACATGGGGCCCTAGTGGCCACCCTTTAAGACAGAAAACATCTTCTAAAGCTTGGTGGGAGGAACAGAGGTCTGAAATCTCCCTTTGTCCTCTCGCTTTAACACTTGAGTCACCTCAAAATGGTTATAGAATATGTTGAGCCTCTGTCTCCAGATTTTAGAATATTTGCATTTGAAACAATTCAGTGTGGTGATTACAAGTTTGTGGCAAGCACTGTGCTGAATTTCAGGGAGAGTCTGTCATAGACTGTGACCGTTGGGAGCATGCAGGTGTCCCCACTGAAGTGCTCTACTCAGGGATGGTCAACCTCTTAGAACTTTTCATTCTCTAACTGTAAGATGGGTTGCAGAGCACTGGCCTCCTGGTTTTATGCAAAGACAGCTTGCCAATTCAGCTCTCAGTGATATCTGCCATGTTTATAAACACACCCATTCCCTCCCTAACTGTAGACTACATACCTATAGATTGGACCAACCTGTTAGAAAACAGTTAAGAAAACGCCACATCCCTACTAAACACACATAGACTTTTCTCTTGCAGCTATTCTTAAACAAGGTAGAATACTATTTATGTAACACATACACTGAATTAGCAGGTATTAGAAATAATCTGGAGATTGCTTAAAACGTGAGAATGTACATAGGTTATATGCAAACACTTGGCTATTTTATGGGGGTTTGATCATCCTCAGATGTCCATTATTCGTCTGAGTCCTGGAACTAATCATACAGAGGCACCGAAAAACAACCAGGTAAGTTATAATATTTAAAAGGTATAGGTTTTTAGAAGGAGATTCTTGGCACTCAAACCCATTGTTAAGTGATGATGTCCATGGGAAGGTCTGTGTGTGCCTTGCCTGCTTTTTGTCTGAATAAACAAGTTGGAAACTTTGGCTTAATATTATTTTCTTACAGATGCATGAAGACACACCTGTACCCTCACCTGAATACTATGATGATGGCACCCAGGACCAGGCAAAAAGCCGACTCCACCAAGTCTAAAGACAGGTACCTGAGTCAAGTGTGCACTACACACTTGCAATTCTAGGACGTGGGAGGCCAAGGCAGAAGAACTATGAATTCAAGGCCAGAGGGTGGTCTACACAGCAAGAACTTATCTTAAAAATAAATAAAAAGGCAGTACATGAGCGCTTGGCATGGTGGCATGTGCCTTTAATCCCAGCACTTGGGAGGCAGAGGCAGGTGGATCTCTGTAAGTTTGAGGCCAGTCTGGTCTACATAGCGAGTTCCACGCTAGCTGGGGCTATAGAGAGACCCTGTCTCAAAAAAAAAAAAAAAAAAAGGCACATGGAAATCTCATGCAATAAAGGAATCAATCCCTCTAGTGCTTAAAGACAACCAATATGCTAAATGACTTGCTTAATTCTTAGGCCACAGGGATACATACATATACATGTATATAATATTTTAAAACATTCTATTTAACTTTTATTTATGTGTATATGTGTATGACTCTGTGTGCGAATGTGTGGGTGCTCAAGGAGGCCAGAAGAGGACACTGGATCCACTGGTGCTGGAGTTATAGACAGCTGTGAGCCACCCAACGTGCGTGATAGGAACCAAACAGGTCCTCTGGAAAAGCAGCAAGTACTCGTAACTGCTGAGTCATCTCTCCAGTCCCTACAGGGATATGCTGTTATTTATACTCTCCAAAAGCAGGAGGAATAATACCTAGGATCAAGAGTGTCAGGACTACGGCAGCAATCCCAGGAATACCTGCCCAAACTGGACGAGTCAACTCTCAAGTATAGTTTCCATCCTCCTCCTCATGTGCCAGGCATCGCCAGATCAGATCCAACTTCCCCTTAAATTCTCTAAGCAAAAGAATCAGAGTACAAAAACGTCCCTAACAGCAATCAAAGTCCCACTTTGGTCCAACTCTGCATGGTGAGATTATCTAGGGTGAAGGTCAAAGACAGTGGGCATAATCTCCCTAGAAGCGAACATGATGGCAGGTATTAAGTCTTGAACCAAACGCAATGAAAGGTGAGAAGATATTGGTCGCAAAGGAAAACACAACTGAGTCCATGATGCTGAGCTACAGCATGAACCAAGATTTGACCCAGTTCTAGACCCACAGCATAATAAGGAGAAAAATCACAAAACAACACAGTGGTAGATTCAACAGAGATCTGCCCACTGGTCCTCTAC